GCAAGTCTTAAAGCTGTCAAGGTCTTGTAAGTTGACAGCTTTAAGACTTGCGTGCTTCAAATGCCAGAGGTTCTGAGCCAACAAGAGCGTTGTTAAGTGAGTTTCACCACATTTTACAAGTTGGCCATGCCCACCCAGTCACATGGCCAGCAAGCCACTCCCACAAAGCAGGCCACACCTACAGAAGAGGTTCTAAAAAAATTGAAACCCACCACTGGTGGGTACTCAAGTGGGTAAAGAGACAAGGCTAAATTGTGAGAAAGAAGACCCTTTCTCATTACCATCTACCCCACTCGAATATACATTATTTGTATATTCAGAATATTTGTCAGTCTCACTTGCTGCATTCATTAGACTCCTTAAGACTTACTGGATTCAATGGGATTTATGTCCAGGACTGTTAGCTTAATTCCCACCGATTTCATCCATTTGTCGTCTGTGACCATTAAAAACAGAATTCATGACTGCAGCCATAGTTTTGTTTCTTCTTTGTGTGGCTAGACCTTTATATCAGCAACTTTTCTTTTTTCTACATGGAAAGCAGTCAAGACACCTAACAATAAAACAATGAAAACATAGTTAAAACATTGTGAAGGATTTAAAATTGCTTGTTAAAACCTAAAAGGCCTGACTCAGGAAGGAAGTCCTGAAAAATAGAAAGAATGAGGTCTGGACTCAACTCCTTGAGAAAAGAGTACATGAGAAACATGAGAAAAGACCTTTTATTTTTATTTTTATTTTTACACGAACATAAAACAAACAGACACACACAATACAGAAAAATCATCCTCCAGTTACATACAGTATGTTGATTGGTTACAGAGCTTTGTGCTTCCTCATAATAGTCCCCACTTGCAATTTACACAAATTCTCATATCAATCCAATATATATATAATTATTATGATTATTGAACATTCATTTGACTATAACTGTTATTACATCCTTTTGTATAAAATATTCTAAATTTGTAGTAAATCTATATTATGGCATTTCATTACATCCTTCTAAAATCATCCAATAATATTACATCTTTATAGCATATTCTATATAAAAATGTTTATATTTAATAACAAAGCTTTTAAGCATCCTCTCCATAGTCCTCACTTACAATTTGTATAAACTTTCATATTATCAATCTGATGTGTATATATATGCAATATTATCATTGTTACTCATTTATTTGACTATAACTATTCACTCCATTTTATACATAATACTCTAAATTTAACTAAATTTAACTTAATTTTTATTATGACCTTTCATTACATCATCCTGTGTCCTTCCAACAGTAGTGCAATCTTATATCTCTTGCCATTTGTAGTATTAGTGTTCTAATTGCGTTCTTGGTAA